AACAAATTATTTACCTCATTATTTTTAAGGAAAACTTTCAGCGCTCTAATTTTTTTTTTGTACTTAGCTTTCACCTTTACGTTTACGATGCTTTATGGAAAATATATTATAAAGAAATTATATGACCAACATATATATTATTTTTCTGTTGGAGATACAATCTCCTAGGGGACATTTAAATTTATATATAATGTTGGTTTTCTGCAACACATTAATTGGTGGGGAGGAGTCATTATGAATGATTAAATTGATTATATTGAATTTAGTATAGTTTATAAATAATTTATATACTAAACTAAATTCAGAAGTTTTTGACTCATAAGTTATTCTCAGGGCTTTGAGTAAGAAAAGAAAACCCCAAAAAACTGATAACACTTTTAAAACAATGCATTGGCTTAAAATACATTTGATTTTCTTTTATATCAACAACAGACACATTTGTAAAATGCTATTCACACACTAGGAAGAAAAAGATCAGTAAATTTAATAGATAAAAAATGTCTATTCTTTTTAGTGAGAAAGAAAAATAATATCTTTTTTATTCAGGTCTAAGTCTTAGGACTGTTAGCTTATCAAAACAAATTTAAAACAGCAGGTAAGCAGTCAACATGGTTGAAAAAATATTGCTGTTTTGACATCTCAGCTTATTTATCTCAGGTGGGAAATGTGTTTGCATCATCGAATAACAGATGTAATGAAGCCGTCTTTTGTTTTCTGTTTTCACTACAAATATCCCTGAAAGCTTTTTGTTTATTTTTCAATCCTGCAATCTACTCACTGCAGTAGTTTAATAGCCTGAGTAAAGTTCTGATAAAACCAAATAAATATGAATTAATAATAATAGCCGACAAAGTTTCATCTAATGAAAATGAAAGTAAATACTAGTACAAAAATTAATAATAATGACTGACAATAAAAATATAATATAAAAAATTAAGATGAAAGTAAATACTAAGCAAAAATGAAGAATAATGGCTGACAAAAGTTCACCTGATAAAAAATGAAAGTTGTAGCATTCCTACGGACAATAATGGGTATGTCCTCATTCACATTAATACAGTAGTAAATACTGTATGTTGGTCTGCAGTTGGAGATTCATTGTGGAATTCACTTGACTCACTTCTAGCAGTTGACTTCTACTTCTATGCACCGCTGGCGGATCTTATGTGTGTTGTTCTTGTCCTAAGTATTATCATTAATTACCAACCTTCATGTGATTATTCTATTCAGTAACCTTCCCTAGGTTACAACATTTTGGCGACGAGGATTAGCCAAAATTACAACAAAAGTAAATATTAGTTTAAATTCATAATGTTTCACAAAGTTTTTTTCAAATAAAAAATATAAGTAATATCCTTGCTAATAAGTTTCAAAATGGGTGGTTCTCCATTCAACCACTGCTGCTACTATAAATAGAAATATTTTTATCCATAAATAATGGATTATTCAACCACCGACATACCATATTAAAGCAAGGTGCAGGGTCATCAAACAGCAGTTATGTTTGGGAACAACTCCAGTTATCCTAAATAGAAATCAGCAAAAGATTAAGACACCACCACCACCCCGATTCAAAGAGACCAACCCTGCTCCCATTCAAAGAGACCCCCCACCCCCATTCAAAGAGACCACCTACCAAGTAAATGCTAACAGACTCACATATAAACTACATCTACATTTGCTTTTTTATTCTCATGTAAATCAGATTTTATCTGCCTTTTTTTATTCAAGTGCAAACCATACCCACATTTGCCGATCTTTTTAATTCATTGTAAGAATAATTGTATGAAAATTTATTCGTCTTGACCTGACATCTTCACTTCAGTCACTTTCCCCATCACAATAATATAGCTCTTCCCTGTACCTTTTATATAAAATACTTTCATGGTAATTATTCAGATCTACTTTCCACTTTGGTACCTAGACTTTATGAATTTAAGTGCATTACTAGACTAGTGGCAAGGTCTCATCATTTTATAGTTGAAATGACTAGATGTAAGTGTAAGTTCTTTGCTAACAGTTTCTTCTCTCACATTTCTTGCTTGTGGAACTTTCTTGCTTTCCAGTCAACTTTGATCTTCAAAAATTTAAATGCAATGTCATTTGTTATCTTCTGTCTTCTTAATTCCTGTCTTTTATTGTTTTCTCTCCTTAATAAATCTTTTTTTTTTCTCTCATATTTTCTCACACTCAATAACCCCTTGCATCCTAGTAGCTTCATTGCCTCTCCCTCTTTGAATATTCCATGACACTTAGTTCATCGTGACTAAGTCTAGACAAGTCTTCTGGAACACAGTTCAAAGTTGGAGATCATCTTCAGCAGCAAGAAGTCATGTGAGTTTGGTGAAGCGGTCATCCCTTGCCTGGTGTCTGGCAGCTTCTCTCTTGATAGTTTTGATTCTCTGTATATATGGACTTCTGTCCCAAGCCGGCATGGGGTCTCTGATGTAGGTTGGGATGTCAGTGATTCCCCTAATCTCCAGAGAGTCCTTTGTTTGTTTGTTTGTCTGGGAAACTATTTGCATGCCCAATTTTGGAAAAGCCCTTCCTTTCTTCTTGTAGCAATTTGGCTTTTATTCAAAGAAATCTGTAATGAAAGAGATAATCAGTTACCCCGAAAAAAAGTTTGTGTTTTGTGTGCGATCTGCCAAAGAAAAATTACCAAAAAGTAGTCAGCAAAAATCTACATTAATGACTAGAAGCTATGCTAATGTTCTTCCCTCCCCAGAATGGCGTGACCAATCAGAAAATTCTCTCGGTGAACAGAACTCGTTATTTTTTGCTTATAAAAGATGATTTTTTTGAACTTGATGGAACAAACACGCATTTTTGCTGGTGAAAAGTGAAGGTCGGATGCATGACCCCATTTTGTCATTTCTACGTTTTGTATTGGATTGTTACGTTGAACTATCATTTGAACTGTGATTTGGCTACAAGTGTTGCGGCCGAGAAACAGAAGAAATCTATTGCAGTTGCTACTATCAGTTGACAGTTTTTTCTTTACTACAACAAAATCTCATCTCTTCAGTGATTCACACCTTCCCTTCCTTTTTTGACAAGTGATTAAAAAAAAAAAAAACAATTCTCCAACTTTGCCCCTGTTTCCAGAAAACTTTATCTTTCCAACGACTTTTCCTTACCAGCAGATAATTCCATAAGCTAGATTTGAAAATAATAGTGTCTCCACTTTGGCTTTTAAGAAATTTCACCACTCCAGCAATTCATACCTCCTCCTCCTCCTCCTCTTTTAACAAGTGATAAAGAAAATAAAAAGAACAATTCTCTAACTCTGCCTTTGTTTTCAGAACACCCTAAATTTTATCTCATGACCAATTTTTTCCACCAGGTTATGGCCTGCAAACAATTTGTTAACCTGAATTTAAAAACAATAATGTCTCCATTTTATAGTCAGTTGTCAACTTCAGCCATATGGTTTTTTTTGTAGGAAAAATCAGATGTTTTTGTCCTTTCCCTCTGCCCTTACCCAAGGAAGAAAAAAAATAAATAAAAACCCTCTGAATTTAATAAATCTTACCTTGTCTCTTGGTATAGCTATCTCTTCAACCCTTAAAGTGTCACAAATTATCATAGCCTCATACAGGTCAAAACTGACAGGAATATTTTTTTTTTATTCTGTCTAGAATCTGTTAGTATCTGTGTGCTCTGCCTATGATCAAAGTGTAGTACCTGTTCCAATTTTCTCTGCTTCATTCCTCCACTATGGTATAGTATCCAGTGTGCTACTTCTGCCTTTAGTCTTTTCATGGCCAAAACTTGATATACCACTTTATATTCCATTGGTAAGGAGTAAGTTCCACACAGCTTCTTCCCCAGAACTGTTGCAATGTGGAACAGTTTCCTAAGAGAATGCCTCCCTGATCACTAAAATCTTAGCCTCTTATGCGAGGGTCAATTGTTATCTATCCTACATATCCTCATAATATGCAACCCTTATTCCCTCCCTATATACATTTACAATATCTCCCATTCATTAACCCTCTACCTTGAGTGACACTTAGGCTTTGCATTAGATGAACAATAGAAAAAAAAATGTGAAGGAAGCTTGGCTCCTGCGATTCCAATCTTGTAGCAACACCTCCCCCATTGCACCAAGAGGGGTTGAACAGTGCACTCTGACACGTTAGTGACACTGGTCACCATGAGTGGGCATTTTTTGCCTCTGTACCAAAAGGTTACTTCCACATGAAACTGATCATGTGTCACAGTGGTAAGGTAGGGAAATACAGGAATATATATTGTGTAGTATCTGCATACACTGTGAAAAATGTTACACACAGGCACATGAAGTGGGAGGTGCTGAAAAGATCTTGGCCTGAAAATCGTCCCAAAACCAAAATCTGACCAAATGAACAAATATGAGAATTTTTTTTTTTTTTTTTCCAAGGGTTCTGGATATGACTTGTACTTGTCAAGCCCTCAACACATCTGTGTGCTTGTGTGTGGGTGGATAAACATTGAATTTTAAGAGAGTGTGTGTGTGTGTGTATAATTCATTCTTTTATTTGTTCCTAGGAATAAGACAAGATCTGCAGATACAGCCATAAGCCTAAAAGACCTTGAACTACTTATAAATTCTACAAGAGGAATAACGCCTACAGTTAACTTTGGAATCATGATCCTGATATTCTTTATTCAATTATGGATTAACTTTCTATCGTTTACCATAAAATCTCCTTCATTTATGCATTGGCCTTATTTTGCAAGGAGGGGAAAAAAATGAAATCGTGGATGAGATATTTAAAATATCTCAATTCAGAGATGAAATAGTTTCTTTATTTATTTTATTGCCTTTTCTTCATCTTATTCTTGCATTTTGTCACTGCATTTCAGGTCAATGTAAATTCTAGCTTTTATGAAAATGAAATGAATGTTGAAATATCTTTCATTGAGGCTTGAACTCAGGTTTTATATTGCAGGGACTCATTTGATATGGATTAACTTTCTCATGAATATCAAAACATTTTCTTGACTTTTTGCAGGTGGCTGCGGCCAGCAATGCAACTCATGTTCAGCTGACTGATGGGAACGAAAATTCTGTTAAAAGTAAGTAAAATCTAAAGAAATAATTGTGACGATTGCATATAGCATGAAACAGACTGTTGCCTCTAAGTGTTGACTTTTATATATATATATATATATATATAGATAATATTAGTGGAAAATATACATACATATGAAAAATATATCTAAAAAATTCCCATACATGTATATTTTCAGAAAAAATTTTTTTCCAAGAGGAAGGATCCAGGTAGAACTCAATGTCTAGGACAGAGTAAGGATATAATAAAAAGGCTTAAACACTAATATTCCATGGTCATAATTTATTCCATTGGAATCGTATTTACGATTCCAATGGAATAAATTATGACCATGGAATATTAGTGTTTAAGCCTTTTTATTATATATATATATATATATATATATATATATATAATAAAGAAGTTAATGTTCAGAGTTGAATTAGACCAGGAAACAGTAGTATTAAAAATGTACTCAAAACCATACAACAATCATTGCAACATTTATCAACAAGAGAAATTAGCTATAATAACATTTCCAGACCAAAAAAATACTTTTAAACCAAAGATCGGAAATTATGTCCCATTGTATACATACTAAAAAGTTTCTTTTGAGTTCATTTGAAGTGAGATAAAAAGAACGTATGTATATTTCATTTAATACCTCCAATACACTTGATTTTCTCCACCTCCTCCTCACCTTCTATCATACCTCACATTGTGCGCTTATTCATTTATTTAATTTTTAAAAAATAAATCATTAGGTAATAAATTGGCTGAAATCACCTGAAGATACCGAAAGGTTGAAACCAATATAGTGGAATTGGCTGATTTCCTAATTTTATTTATATATATATATATATATATATATATATATATATATATATATATATATATATATAATTACTTAAAAATATGATTCCAACTCGCGACATAAGAGGTCTCATGTTTCAAAACAAGAGCCGAAAACTTCAATATAATTATTTGAATTAAATTGAGTTAAAGTAAGCTCTGTTCCATCTTCAAGCGAAATTTTTTTTTTGAATAACGTATTTCACTTTTGTATCGAGCAATATTTTTGTATCGAGCACTATTTTTTAAAAATAATAACTAAAATACTAAGGAACTTTGGATTATTTATCTAACCAGTTCCTTCCTATTTTCTATATATTTTCACATATATATATATGAGTAATAGAATTTTGTGGATTTAGGCAAATCATTATAGTAATTCATTGAGTCTAGAAGAATCCTCAACAGAATGCAGAAAGCACTGGATGGCTGTTTCGTCCTATTATTAGGATGCATCAGCAGTTCATAACCCAACAGATTAGCACTTATGAATACTTGGATGAGTATCACTACGGAATATGTGAGTAGCAGTGCTATATCGAGTCTATTCAATTTTTTTCTTTGTCACCAACGCCCATTGGTACAGTTGGTATGACGCTCGTGTTGTATCAAATAGTACGGGATCGAATCTTGGTAGCGGATGCGCACTGCTGATGAGTCCCAAAAATAGGATAAAACAACCATTCAGTGCTTTCTGCATTCTGTTGACAATTCTTCTAGACTCGATGAATTACTATAATATATATATATATATATATATAAAAGAAAATAATATATAACACAAATAAAATAAATATATGAACAAGCAACCCAGATCTCATGACCATAAATAATAAGCATTAGCCCTAAACAAAAAAAAGCACTGGGAAGGGCCAGTTTCCTCCTCCTGCCATTTCCCTTAACACCCACTCCAGTGACCTTGCTTGCTAAAAGAACTGGTCACAAAGTCAAGGCAACAGCTAGAGATCAACATAAGCTGAATAAGATCCTTATTTTCCATTGATTTACCAACTGTGGAGAAATTTCCAAAACCTGGATTGATGCTGGTATGGATCTTTCTGGGCATTCCATCAACAGGATAAACTTATTTAAAAAAAACTACTGACTTTGAAGCAGAAACGGAAATATTTGATCTGGGCTAGATACCATCAAAGTTGTCTGATTCATTGATGGAACCAGATCGTTTTCAGTGATGAATCAAAATTATATGTTTGCTTTGAGGATTGTGGCCCCACCCTTGGATAAAGTCACATGAGAGATACAATTCGAAATGCATGAAAATATGTGTATGGTTTGGGGTTGTATGTCTGTTTGAAAGATCTGTTTCTTGAAAAGGTCAGTTAATTCTTCTATCAGAAGTTCCTAGATCATTTCCTCATCCCATACAGGTTTGGGGACAATGAATTTATCCAGCATGACCTTGATCTGCCTCATGTAGTGAAATTTACAAAAGAATAGTTTAGGAAGAAGAGGATAACTGTTCTTGATTGGTCAGCAAATAGGCCAGTTGCAAATCCAATAGAAAATATATAGACTCATCAAGAGGAGATTAAGGAAATACTATCCAATTAAATCTTGAAGAATTGAAGCAAGTCATTACTGAAGTGTGGATATGGGTGACACCAGAATATTGTCTTTGATTAATCAGTTCATTGTCATAATGAATTAAAGCAATAGAAAATGCAAAAAGCTCTACAACAAAGTACTCGTATAGTAATACAGTTCTTCTAAAACATGTTCTCGTCCTGGGTAAGACATTAAAATTTATCTGCGTCCTGGGTAAGACGTTAAACTACATCCAGCAGCAAGGCCTCTGATTGGGAGATTGGAGGTTTTGAGGAGCATGGAACCACCTCTTAATTGCTGGTGTTCCCAGGTCCACCCTGACCCAGGGTAGTAGCACCTGTTAGGGTTCCCAGCTATTGGCAAATAGTTAACTATTACCAGCAATACAGTTTTGAAGGAAATATATTACCAGAAACAGATTTTTGACAAAACAAAATATTACCAGCAATAAAAATTTTTGTCGGCATTAAATAACCCATTGAGGTTGATATGCTGTGAAACAAAAAAAAAAATAAAACCAATCTAAACCAAAGAATACATATTCTATTCATACAAATTTATCCTAAAAATGCTGTCAGCATTAAATAACCCATTGAGGTTAATATGCCATTAAACAAAATAAACCAAACCAAAAAGAAAAAACATAAATATTTTGCCTTGATAAAATAACAGCATTTTGTCTTTGTCTATAACAATCTTCAGATTTTAAAAAAATTCACATTTCAAAGAAAACTTGTTTCTTTTTGGAGAAATACCATTAGAATGTGGAGTAATGGATAGTGGCTCGGATTCAGGAATCAGAGAGCCAAGTTCAAATTCCAGTCGAAGCCATTACATTCACTTACGTGCTAATACCCTTGGGAAAGGTATGAATCCTCTTCTTCTCCCCCAGCTATGGGTAAATAGCAGGACAGATCTGGTTCTATAGCCTTGGATGGCAACTGGTCTACCACAGAAAGAAATGGCAACCTACTTCGGGAAAAAATCTACCTCATCAGTCATGTATCGAAAGATACATGATTGCCTAAGCGTGTATCACACATGGCACAAAACTGACTGACTAACCATTAGATTATTTTTGTATATTGAATTGTCCAATTCTAAAGGAATTTGAGCAATAAACATGAAAGTTATTTGCAGAAAAATGGTAAATTCCATTTTTATGAATCGCTGTTGTAATATATAGCAGAAACACTTCTGATCCAAGGAATAGTATATCGACCATGAAGCAAGTCTGTGAAAGTCTGATTCTGTGGGGATGTTTTTCATCTGTGGATACAGGGAATATTCACATCCTTGAAGGAACTATAAATTCATCCAATTTAAGTGCAATCTGAGACTGGTGAGACTTGTAGAAACACTCTTCAAGATAACAACTACTCACAAAGGTATGAGTCTGGCTGAGAGATTAAACTTACAATTGCTTGACAACCAAATTCCCAAACCAACATTTTAATTCTCTTAGCTATTGTCCCATGGCTTAGAGAATTAAACTGCTGCTTCATAAATTGTCCTAAGAAGTTTGATGAATTTCATTAATTTGGTGCCATAGTAAGTGTGAGTTCAATCCCTGAGCTGGGTGGTTCACATTCAGACACAGTGGAGACAGAGTGAGCAATAACTGAATAGTACTAAAAGAAGAACAAAACGAGAGTTCAATAGACATGAGTAGCAGAACGAGTACAAATCTACTATCCTAAATTGAATAAAGAGTTTAGTTCAAAATTGCCTGAAGGCTAGAGGGTACAATGGTTGAAATGTGACAATAGCAAGATAGATGAGGACGTTAGTCTGACTGTAAATAATGATATTGTAAGCTTTCAATATATAAAAGAATTCTATACATTTTAAAAGTTCAGTGCTAAATAACATTCAGAAATGTTCTCACTGATTTATCTTTTCATCGCAATTTATTTGTTTTTGCTAAGTCTCATTACCTTAACTAAAAACAAAGCTGTTAAAATTCATAGATTTTTGGATATTTGAACTGATTTTCTTTTTATATTGTTATATACCATACCTATGAACATTAATGGGTATATCCCAATCCTCATAAGTATGTTAGACACTATTGTAAGTGGGGGGGGGTAATATGCTGTCTAAGTAGTCCACCACTAGCAGTGGTTTACCTACTTCACGCCGCTGGTGAGTATTGTATTTTATTGATGTTATAAAAATTACCGTTTCATTTCCAACCTCCATTTTGGTTATTCTTCATTCAGCAACCCTTTCTAAGTTAGGACATTTATAGTGAAAAAAAAAAAAAAACTGTAACAAAATTTAAATGTTAAAATAAAATTTTCTATTAGTTACCATTTTTTCTTGTTTTGCTCTACCAAAAACAAAAAGTCCCAAAAAAGAATGACCGTTTTTTTATATCATAGATACTTCTGAAATAAGCCATAGAATGAAATAGCCAGAACATTATGGGAATAAAAAAATCCAAAAAAAAAAAAGAAAAAGAAAAGTGTTCAGTTATCCAAAAATCTCTAAGTTGTGCTAGTCAATTTAAAATGATTAGATTACTTGTACTATGTTAGTTTGTTCCCACTGACCTTGAAAATAGACATCTCTTAAATAGATAACATTTTCTTATTGTAGATGTCCATCACATAGTAAAACATAATCGAGCCAGGAATATATTTGGGAATACAGACATCCATGCTCGGTAAGTACCATAAAGACTTACTTTGATCTTTCATTTATAAAAAAACATCACCTGGCATTATTATTAAAATTGCTTAAATTATATTAGTTATCAAAACTCTTCCATTCCACCAATTTGGTTAGAAAGGAAATAGGATGCCTTCTTTATATATTATAATTTTATCATATAGACAAAAACAGTTTACTCACTACAAATATGCAACTTCATTTCAGTGCATTTCAATTGCACCTCGACAAGTGAGAACCAAAAATGGTTATGAACAATTCTGCTTGTAGGCAAGCCGTATGTGAAATGTCACTTCCTTTTTTCCATTTGTTTGGGAAAAAAATATACATAAAGCAAAAAGGTGACAGAGTGAAACAATAGGGCAGCAGCTGATAGTCATTTGGTGAAGGATGGGTGAGATGTTAAATGATGGCCAGTATGGAAAGATTTCTTGTCAATAACAACGATCAAAAGTTGAGGTACACCATTTCTAAGTCTCCTAAGAGTGAGGTGTGAGGGAGGAAAGGTGGGAATGGGAGATAGTAATAAAATGAAAGAGGTAGGAGGGATAAATTCTAATGATAGTTATAGTAGTAATTGGGAATGGTTTTTTTTTTTTTTTTTTTTTTTTTATTATAAAAAGAAGTTAAAGCTGAATTGCATATATTTATGTTGGAGTTATCACTACTAATTCTGTAATCAATGAAAGTGTTTTGTAAATTAATAAATTTAGAAGTGGTGATTTCAAAACAAACTTGCATCTTTGTAGTGAGTAGATTGTTTTTGTCTATATGAAAAATTTTAATAAATAATTATTGCTCTACTATTGATATTGAGCCCTCTACTGTCAACGTTAGAATTTATATATTATTTTCATTCTCATTATATTCAGAGATATATATATATCTATAGGTAGATAGATATGTGTGATAATCTGATAGTATAAATCGTATAATATTTTCAATCTAAGTAATATCTTATTTCTTGATAAATATCACGATTGCTTTTTTTTATATATATATATATATATATATATATATATATATAATCACAGTTATATATATATATTTCTCAATGATATATCCAACGTAAACTTGAAAAATAACTACTAAACACTGAAGGAAGGGAAGTAACTACAAATTACGTGACTGCTAAATTAACTCCCTTGGCATATAATTTAACTATCCGGGAAATAACAGACAACGGAAACTGTGACAGAAATTCGAAACTAAACAAAATATTAAGAAAAAGAAAAGTGTCGTTAGAAACAAAGACAAGACTTCCGAAATGCTATGTAATACCAATTCTCTTACATGGCAGTGAATGTTGGACAATTTCCTCACAGATGAAGAGAAAACTTGAAGCAACAGAAATTCTGAGAATACCATGGACGGAACATGGGAACAACGAGAAAGTTTTACGATAAATGGAAACAAAAAAGACACTTGGACTTCGAATCAGAAAGAAACGGTTGAAATTTCTGGGACATATAATGAAGAAAGAGGGCTTGGAGAATTTGACACACACAGAACATGCTGTAGGCAAGAAGGGAACAGAGGGTAATAGTGAGTCTCCAACCTAACAAGCTTGTGCAAACAGTAGAACAAGGAGTGAAAGGGATAGTAAAAAGACAAACATTGCTACGAATTACGAAAGAAGTTGTGGAGAGGCATGATTGCTCATGTCCTAAAGGGACATGTTAAATAGAAGATGATAACACATAACTGGTGATGCAATCAAATGTTTTAAAAAAAAAAAAAAAAAAGAGAAAATGATAAGCATTTATTTCAGACTAATGCTTTTGGAAAAGGCATGAATCCATCTCTTCTCTTTCCACTTATGGGTAATATAGTAAAGTAGACTTGGTTCTCTAGCTGTGGTTGACAACCAGTCTATGAGAAGGAATTCAAATTCTAAATTAAAAAAATCAGGGATTTTCTTCTTATTGGTTGGGCAATCTGGCAATAAAGAGGGATGCAAAACTCAGCAGCATCTGAGCAGGGCACGGACAAGACTTCCACATAGGAAACACAAACAAGGATGAACAAATTTGAAACGACGCTAGGTTAATGAACAAATATCGTTGGTAACACATGGTAATCCTGTTGTGCGGTCACTGTGTTGTGAAGTAAATAAGACCCCATCGCAACCCCCCCAACACAAATGGACTTAACTAAAGAACTCAAAGTGAGTCAGTATAGAGTCCATTGAAGTCAATTTTTTTTTTTGGTGTGTGTAAAAAAGAACAGATATTCTTTAAATATGGAAAAATTATTATCCCAAGTGTTAAAAATACAACAATAGTTGTTGGAATTCCAAAAACAACAACAAAATTTAATTGACATAATATGGAAGAAAACAGAAAATTACCAAAGTTCTTCCACTCACGATACAGTGGCAAATGCCATAGCTGAATTCACATACAATTCAGATGATGGAATTACCTTTTCTGCTTATTTTAGAAGATACAAGCAAATTTTCAGAGAAAAATTCAGTGACTGGGAAAAAAAAAAAAAAACCCCAAAACAAAACTCTTATTGAGAAAGTTAAAACTGTTAGAACATAGAAAAATACTGTAATTTTGTACTACTGAAAAAAAAAAAAACGAGTTATAACAATCTTACGTAAATCAATGTTGAATTTTCTGTCAATTTTAATATAATTGGCACACTGAATGATTTTAAAACCCTAAGTTGGCATATAGTTAGCAAAATGTTGCTGACCCCTGACCTATGTCATGAAGTCACATGACATTTATAAAAAAAGAAAATGGCTACCATGTTTAAAAACAAAATCCCATATTTCACTATTTTCTTGAATTTTTTAATAATTTTTTCATAATTATTTTGTTAGGTGTTTGCGGTGGGGTACTGACCTGGACAGCTGTAAACATCTAGAGAAATTTGACTACATACTAAGTGCTGATTGGTAAGTTTAAATGTTTTTTTTTTTATTGAGAAAAGTAAGTACTAATACAAGTTACTAGCCAAATGTTCTGGGATTTTCATCATAACACTAAGTTTTCACAATACATTTTGAAGTGGCCAGGAAAATGTAGTAGCAAAAGTCTATTTATCTGTATCTATTTCAAGTTTATCTCTTCAACAGCAGGTATCATCAATTAGGGTTTCATTGGAGATCAACGGATATCATCAATTAATGTTTCAAACAGTTTACAATGATATAGGCATCATTCATTCAGGACTGAAGTCAAAAGGACTAATTGGAAACTCTAGGATCTAGTGATAGAAACTCTAGGATATATCTAGCAATAGAAACTCTAGGATATATCTAGTGATAGAAAAATAAATAAAAATAAATGATTAATAACAAGGAAACCCAAATGTCACCATCTCTAAAAATATATGCTTATTCAGAACCCTTAGATCATTAAATCATATTTTGACCAACCAATCAGCATCCTGGGTAAGACGATAAACTACATCCAATAGCAAGGTCTTTGATCAGGTTTTGAGGAGTGTGGAACCACCTCTTAATTGCTGGTGTTCCCAGGTCCAACCTGACCTGGGGTGGTAACACCTGTTAGGGTCCCAGCTATGGGCAAATAATTAACCCCTGCAAAAGGGGTCAAAACACAATGAAAGTATAAAAATAGATTTTAATACCAGCAATAAATTTTTGAAAAAATATTACTAAAAATACATTTAAAAAAAAAAAAAAATTACCAGCAATAAAAATCTCATTGGCATTAAATAACCCATTGATGTTGATATGCCGTAAAAGAAAACAAACCAACCAATCAGAAACTTTCCTGACTAGGATATGTCCTGGGCATGACATTAAACTGCATCCACATTTTGGGCATGAAGTTAAACTGCAATCATGGGTTTTTCGCAAAACAAGTTCACCCATGTCCTGTATAGGATATTAAACTATAACCAGGTGTAGTATAGGTAGCAAGATGGATTAGAAACTAATTATTTGTAGGAGGAAACTTCACTTACATGCTGTCAGCTTATATGATAAGGTTTCCGGGCTAGTCTATAGTACTTTGATTTGCTCACTGGTAAATCTTGGCAGTGTTTGTACAGTATTACAATTTTTGTATGCTTCCTTGGAGTAGTGTCCACTGCTGACAATGGCCATAAAACAACTAATCAACAGTCAAAACAATAGTGTCAGGGTGTGATAAAAAAAGAAACTAACTTTAATTATTCATTTCAAAACCTTCTTCAGGATTAAATGATCCACCTGCATTGATGTGCCGTAAAACAAATCAGTCAATCAATCTGACCAGGATAGGAACATCATAGTCTAGCAAGCAAATCAAAAACAAGATCTATTTCCAACCATGACATAAGTTCACTGATTGTGGACCAATCAGGAGCCAAGTGGCAGTTTCAAAGCAGATCTCTAGAGATGTATATTATGAGATGGAAAGTCAACCTAAATCAGAATCAATGAATTAATTTTATCAATTCTGCCATGCTGTGGTTATCGTGACATACCCAGAGATGAAATACAACATTTATGCATGACCCACATAGTCTCACAATAGACTCCTACAATATCTATTTTCTTCTATTTTTTGACTAAAATATCCACACATTCCGGCATTGACACCAAAATATGCATACTTCCATCACTCATCAGGTGACTGCTACATTTGAATAATATATATATATATATATGGCTCACCCTGATGATCCCATGTGGTGAAACCTAGGTAGGTAGTACTTGGCTCATTAGGATTTATTTATTTTACTTTCGCTCTACTTAGTGTATTGAGCCCTCTTTGTTTTAACTTATTACTCACTGGGGATTTTTTCTTTGTACCAGAGATTTAAGGTACTGGACAATTTCTTTCACCCTCTTTGGAGGTTTCTGGTGCTTTCTTTTTTTTTTCTTTTTTTTTTCCATTTTTCCTTGGATGCCAATTTATTTGAAAATTGTGCTATCCAGGTTTTTCACCCACCGAGTTTAAATAGATTTACATTATATATATATATATATATATATATATATATATATATATATATATTGTGCGTATTTGGGCAGCTCTCTTTTATACAAGTTTCATTCAAAAAAAGACTGACAAGTTACTGCAGTTAAGTTTTTTTTATTTAATTTTTCTTGTGTTCTTATAATTTTCTTCTTTTCTAGACATAAATTATGTAGAAATTGTCTGAATGTTCTGTATGTTTGAGAGCTTTCAGTTATACTTTTAGCGACTATCAAATAGGATTTTATTTTTACTTTGAATGTATTAATTGTTTTATGTATATATCTAGAATTAAAGGAATGTTTTATTTTCCAAACATATGTGCTGACTATGTTTGGAAAATAAAACTTTCCTTATGAGATAACTTCCATCATTTCCTAAAGTATTTGCCTGAAAATAATGCTGGCATAACAAGCTAAAGACATTGCTATGTCTGCATACAGTAAGTAAAGATGAAAATAGAAACAGCTTGGTGCAATAGAATGCTTCAAGGAGTATCATACTCTTAAAAGATATTAAAATTTAGGAACATAACTTTTGGTTTACTTCTCTTTTTTTTCTTATATTTATAATCTAAAAGTGTTAAAATATCAGTTTTTATACTCTTTGTCCATAATTCATCCCATCCTGAGTAAGACGATAAACTACATCTGCATCCTGGATAAGACAATAAACTACATGGAACCACCTCTTAATTACTGGTGTTCCTAGGTTCATCCCTGACCCGGGGTGGTAGCACCTGTTAGGGTCCCAGCTATGGGCAAATAGTTAACCTCCCAAAAGGGGTCAAAAACTATGAAAGTATAAAAATAGGGTTCAATACCAGCAGTACATGTTTAAAAAAATCTTGTCGGCATTAAATAACCCACTGAGGTTGATATGCCATAAACCAAACCAAACCAAACCAAATCATAATTCATCATCATCAATCCCATGACTGGGTGAGGTTGTAGGGTCACTGTGCAACTGAATATCTGACCATCTCCCTCCATATACCTCAGTTTCGTGCCAGTATCTGAATCTTTGTGAATGATCTTCTATTCCATTCAGTGATGCTGTCAAGCCTATCTTTTCCCTCTGTCTTTTGCCTAAGATCATATCTTGTTGGATGACAGTTGAAAGATTGTTAGTCCCTATGATATGTCCAATGTCTATACTATTTCAACTTTCTTTTCTTGACAGTAGATAGGAGAACTTCCAATGGACCTGATAGTGTCTTATACAGCCACGTTTATGCAATCTATGTAGGAGATGCCTAGGGTGGTTCTATATTTCTAATGCTTGGTTTCTTTGCTGTAATTTTGCTGCTAATATCCAAGATTTGCAGGCATACAGAAAGACTGAGAAGGCCAATGCATGCAACAATCTAATCTTTGATTTCAGGCAGATGTTCTTATCTTTCCAGATGGTATTTAGTTTTGCAACAGATGCCATTGTTTATGCTGCTCTTTAAATTATTCATATTCTGGAGCCCTGTTCACTGCTAACTGAGCCAAAATATTTGAATTGGCTTACTATTTCAAATATCTTGGTTGAAAGACTTTTCTTATTGTGCATATTATATGCTTGTTTATATCATCATCAATCTCCATGTCATACTTAGAGGATGGATATAATTAAATCAAGAATAAGCATAAAACCATGCTTTAAAAAAAATAATTTATCCTTTTTTCTTTTATCCATTTGGCATGTAGGTTTATGAAACTTTTCCCTCACTATTTAAGTGTTAAACCATCTGAACTTTTTGAAACCAATTTGGATTCAAAATGACAATAGTTTACTAATTACACTGAAGCCATTTTATACTGAAAATTCCATGCCAAAAATTAGGTTCTTTTTCTGTCCATGCCTTTCATAAGGATGATTTACTTTTTTGTTCTTTCAGTTTATTTTTTGAAGAAGGTCGAATGGACTTGATTGATACAATTGACTTCTTGTTAAAACCTGGTGTAAGTAGCAACAAATCTTTTTTTATTCATTTCTTTTCACATTAAGCATCTCAGCTTTTTCAGCATTTGGCCAACTGATGTTGCTTGAGTTTCTTTTTTTAAACTAGCGTTGGAAAAATTTAATACTTTCTGCAACTAACAAATTACTATCACTTACTGAATTTATATTAGAGTTTAGAACTCTGAAACTCCTTTAATTTTTTTTTTTATTTCCTATCAGAAGTTGTTTGACAACTAATATCTGTCTATATAATGAACATTGTAACTTCTCGTGTTTCTTTGCTTTTCTCTGTTGCTAACAATAGACTTGTGCATGAGTAATCATCAACCTAGTCTCATTACATAGTAACAAGAAAATCCATTGTTACAAAGCACGCTTGTCACTACTAAAAGTGAGCAAGTGTGATGGTACTATAACAAGAAGATTTTTTTTAAATCTTAAATTATAATCTCTCTTCTATAACATAAAAACACAATGGGATTATAATTATCACTCATGCAGCCTGTTCTCCCCTACTCATTAATGAAATATTTAGCTATTATTGTAACAAAAGCTATTACCCAATACCAAAAAGTGAACACATCACATGTTAACAAAACAATAGATATTTTCCTTATTAAGTAGAGGAGTTCAAATTGGTAATAAATTGCCTTTTATTTGTTTTAGAAGTAGAATTATTTATTTAAATAGAATTCTTTCTTACATTTAACAGTAAAGTTAAATATACAGATTAAAATCTGTACTCATGCAGAAATTAGAAGTAATGCAATTTCAAAATTACTTCAGGATTTCTGTCATTTTTGACACCACAGGTAAATGAGTAAAATTAAAAAAATATCACAGTTTCATATTAACATAATTTTAATATAATTCCTAAGGAATTAATGGATTTCTTATTTTTAATCCAACATTATTTATTACTTTACTTCAATGGTTCTCAACCTTTTTTTTACCCATAGGCCACTTTTACTCTTAATTTTTGGGGGATGACCCCCATAACGATTCATTGAAAACAAAGCTAATTTTATTTTTTACTAATAGATAAGTTTAGGAATTCTATTATAAAAATAGTAAATTATGTGCTTTATTTTGAAGTAAAAATAATTTAATGAAAATAAACTTGTATTTAACAACTAAATTCTATAGCACATTTATGTACACTAGTAAAATAACTCCTAATAAACTATTTTAAATGAGCCGCAGCAATGTTACATGAACCCAGGTTGAGAAAGAATGCGCTCAATGATACATCATAGTGGATAAATGTGTTTGATTAGATACCTTGTTTGTTTTAAGCAGCATTAATTATGTCTACTCGCCTGTGCATTCTAGAGTCTTAATAAAGAAAATTTGCAATCTGGCAAGGTTTGTAAGGGAAACCACTGTCTGATCTGGTATGCCTTAGACCACTCAGCTACAGAGAGCTTCACAGCTCACTTAGGATTCAATTACCCTTTTAAGGGTTGCATATCGTCTCATTTCGATTTTCTCAAAATGTGTTACCTGTTAGCTTTATTTTCATATCCAAAACATAAACAAAGTAAGTTTTATCATGGCAAACAAAGTATTTAAAAAAAAAAAAAGAATGTAATATGTAACAATGAATTTCCATGAAAAATTTAATTCATAGAATTTGCAAGGAGTTTACTCAGTTAAATTCAAACAAGATTTCATGTATTGCTAGTTATTATTATTGCTCACTGAGTTCATTTATTATTGAATTCTGATATAATCATTATTATTATTAAGTGTATCTGTAGAGCAGTGTTGAGAGCTTGTAATGCCTGGTCAGCACTGAAGTCTCAAACACAAAATTTATCATTTACAAGCAACAATTTAAAACAAAGACAAAACTCGGTTTAACCAAATCCCAAATAACCTTTATTAAAAAATGACAGTATGTATTGGCTGTGTGTGTGTAGGAAGAAAAGTATCAGTGATTGGTGTCACTAATATGGGTTGTTCTTGATCTGGTTACTATGTTGATGTTGGGAATCAGTGACTTCGTTCTTTGGCTGTGGTCGTTGAATGAATGGGAAAAAAGGGATGTGTGACTGCTTTCCTTCCATCTGCCAACATGAAGTTCAGTAGCTGGCAGATTTTTCCCTTCTGAACTGAAAAATTCTGTGCTATTTATATGACATAGGGTGCAGACATAGTTGTAAGCTAAAATTTGCACCTGCTTGAGATAAATACTCACAGCAAGAAAAATGAGTGGAGGAAAAAAACATATTTTCCAACCAATTGGTTTTTAAGGTTCACAGCAGTAAGAAAACTTGAAGCATTCAGGTCAAGATGTGATGAAAGAAGTCGATATAGTCTAGTACAATATCCCTAAATTAATAAAAGGGGGTTCACAATTAATGCTTTCTTTTATTTTTACTTCATTTGCTAACATCAATTTACAAAATGATGATAAATATTACTGATGTATAATATTAAATTTTGAAATCTTGTTAATGATTTTTGGAATAATCTACATACAAATCAACCATTCATTCTTGCATTGAATACTGCTGCCATATATGGTCTGGTGCTCCCACTGTTCATCTTGAGGTTCTCAACAGAATCCAGAGATGTATATACAGTGTGATAGGTCCTGATCTGGCATCTTGTCTACAGTCACTTTCATAGCAAGTGCTCTGATGAGCTACTTCCACTGGTTTCTAAACTGCATGAATTTAAGCATGCTACTAGGTTGGCATCTCAGTCCCAACCTTTCACTGTCGAAATGGTTAAATGTAGCTGTCTCTTCTACTCCAACAGCTTCTCATCTCACGCTTCCCACCAGTGGAACTCCCTTCCTCTTACTTGCTTCCTTGCTATAATCTTCAAATATAATGTCAAACAACATTTTCTGATGCCTTGATCTTGATCCCTGTCCTCATTATTCTTTCCCCAAACACCCCCTCTTGCTCTCACTCTCCGTAACCCCTTGTGTGCTAGTGGCACTCCTGCCTTGCTTGGGGTGATATGCTTAAAAAAAATTAAATATGTAAGTAAATTGTTTTTTATCATTTTTTTTTTTCTTTAAAAAAAATTAGGTTAACAATCACTCCAGCCTTCATTAGGTGATTGGAATTATTTAAAATTTGATTACATTAAGATACGCTTTGAGCAGATATGATTGTTCGAGAAAGATCATGGGAAATTTATTGTTTGAAAACAGTAATTTGGACTTTGCTAACCAAACGCTTTCTCTGTACCTGAGTGGTATAGCATGCCAGATCAAATGACGGTTCCATGTGGGACACAGGTTCGAATACTGTCAGAGGACACATATTTAAATGTAATTAATGCTGTTTATTATAAACAGCATTAACTAAAATAATTGTAGCTATAAAAAATAACATATAAACAGAATAATATATATATATATATATATATATATATATATATATATATATATGGTGGACAATTTATGTTCAGAATCTTCACAGAAACTGAAAAGAAAAAAAAAACCAAAGCAAAAATTTTTTAAAACCACCAACCAAAAACATTAAAAATCAGTTGGTTTTCCACTCAACCTGTATAAATGAATTATTGCTGCCCAAATACTTCCAATATATATGTGTAAAAACAACTGCGCCTTTATGATGTCCTTAAAAAATCAATAATTTATTTTTCTAAATGAAAGTTAAAAATATAGTTAACTTTTAAGTGTATATATAAAAAAAAATTCTTTTGCAGGCAAACTGAAAACCTAATACATTCTCTAAGTGTTGAAAATGAAAAATCATTAATAGATCTGTTGATTGTAAGCTAACGTCTGACAGCAAATCCAGTGTATTTTGGAGGGATTTAAAATAGTGAATGTAAGAAAGACACTATAGGAATTTAGCTCAATAACAAAGAGCATACTGATATTTAGGTTGTGGAGTTGCAAGAAGCTGCCTGGGTTAAAGGTGGGTTCCTTTAAACCAGGGGTCAGTAACCTACTGCACACATGTCCCACCTGGCATGCCAGGCAATTTCCAATGGCATGTAGCTGCAAATGACATCACAAAGTCCGACCCAATAACTACTACAACGCAAAGAAGATATTTAGCTGTTTCTATTTTAATATATAGTAAAGTATATATACTATATAAAATATAGAACAGGCATATTGACTTTGACTTGTATAAAAATACTTATGCTGTTGGCACACTGAATGATTTTATAACCCTAAGTTGGCACAAGGTGGCCAACCCCTGTTTTAAACACTTATAAAATTAATAATTGTAAATAAAATATTTTGTCTTGTCTAAATTTAGTAAAAATGAAAGAAATTATTTCTCAAATCTTTCTGATTTATGCTTGTTCATTCAATATGTTGAGTTTGTATACAAAGTCAAAGGTTGTGTTGAATATTTTCTCACTTCATTTTTTGGAGTCTCCAACAATAAAAACAATTGAAAATAATTGTCATAACTTGAGGAACAAAGGGACTTAACTCTTGCTTTAACATTTCGTGTACAGTACATTTTTGGATAACTGTCTACACCTGTATATCTGTTGATTTTGAAATTTAAAATGCATGCTTAGGTGCTTATTAAACTTACAGTAATTTTTGTTTGTTTGTTTTTTTTTTCATTTTATAAAATGATTGAATGAAGATGTTTTTTTAACAATTTACTAAACATGCATTTTGTTAGTTGCTTTGTTTTTAGTTGAGCAATATCTTTAATATCATAACATAAATGATTATTGAGTAATAAATAAAAAAAGAGTCTTAGCTCACCTTTAAAAGTGGGGAGGGGAGATTAGCATAATGCATTGAGATTGTTTTTTTTTTTTCTGTCAATGACACTGAAAATTGACAAGTAGCTGACATAATGTTTAGCAGTGTGGTAAATAGAACCATCAAGTTCAAAGCAATTGTGTTCAACTCCCACTGGTGTTACTGGGAAATGCATGGATCCACTGCCTCTTAGTTATAGTAGGGTAGAGTGAAATTTTTAGCCTTGGTAGGAGCAATCACTATCAGAATATAAAACCATGGGAAACTACTTTGCTA